AAGAATGACCAAGCTCTGGGATCATGCAATTTCTCCCCACTATGCCATGTTTGCCACTGTGCCTGGGTTCACAGGGGTGGAAAAGCCTCCAAGAAACTTGGTAGCCTGCTGGTCACCAAAGGTTTGTGGAAGGGAGAAATGGATCCCTCCCTTACCCTTTCTCTGGGCACTGAGCCTTCCTGGGTTTGATCCTTGCCAGTATCTTTTTTCCTTTATCTTCTTCCTTCTCTGCTTCCCAATTTTCCTCTGTGAAGGCCCCGGGCAGGCTCCGGCACCTCTCTCTCTCTGATCTACACCTGACTTGCGTCTCTTCTACCCTCTCCTTTATCTGAAATCCAATCTTCCCTCTGGGATGATCTGATAAGTGATGTCACTAATCAGCCATCTTACCATCTGTGTCAAGGAATCCTTTTATTTCCATCTTGATTTCCTCATTAACCCTGATCATTCAGTAGTAGTAAGTTGTTTAATTCCTAAGACTTTGTGTTGATTTGAGTGTTTCTCTTAGAATTTATTTCTAGTTTTATTCCACTGTGGTCTGAGAAGGTACATGGTATGATTTTAAGTTTTTTGAATTGCTGAGACTTTATTTGTGGCCTAGGATATGATCCATCTTGGAGTATGTCCCATGTGCTGATAAGAAAAATGTATATTCAGTATTTGTTGGGGAGAATGTTCTGTAAATGTCTGTCAGGTCCATTTGCTCTAGAGTCCTGTTTAAGCCCAGTGTTTCTTTATTCATTTTCTGCTTTGATGATCTGTCCAGTTTCATCAATGGAATGTTGAAATCCCCAGAAATTAAGATGCTACTGTTCATTTCTTTCCTTTGATCTAGAATAATCTGCTTTATGAAATTGGGAGCTCCTGTGTTAGGTGTATATATATTTAGAATTATGTTTCCTTGTTGAATTGGTCCCTTTACCTTGAGTCTATGTGAGTCCTTGTGGTTTAGATGTGTTTCTTGGGGACAGCAAATATTTGGGTTGTGATTTTTTATCCATTCAGCCAGTCTGTGTCTTGTGAGGGGAACATTCATATCATTTACATTGAGTATTAGTATTGATATGTGGAATCTCATTCTGGTCATCATGTTGGATGACACCTTACTGTTTTGTTTTCCCTGTTATGATATTATTTTGTAAGAGCTGTAAGCTATAACTTTTGGATGTTTTCACACTGGTGGTTATCTATTATGCTGCTGTATGTATACTCCAGAGAGCAAATGAATGATAAGAAAATGAAACAGCCTTATTGCTGATATGGAGAAAGTTTTAGTGGTCTGGGTAGAAGATCAAAGCAGCTACAATATTCCCTTTAGCCAAAGCCTAATCGAGAGCAAGGCTCTTACTCTCTTCAATTATATGAATCTAAGGGAGATGAGGAAGATGCAGAAGAAAAGTTTGAAGCTAGAAGAGTTTGGTTCATGAGGGTTGAGGAAAAAAGCCAAATCCATAACATAAAAGTACAAGGTGAAATAGCAAGTGCTGATGGAGAAGTTGTAGTTAGTTAGCCAGAAGGTGGCTACACTAAAAAACAGACATTCCATGTAGGCAAAACAGCCATCTGTTGGAAGACAATGCCATCTAGGGCTTCCATAGGTAAAGAGGAAAAGTCAATGCCTAGCTTCAAAGCTTCAAAGAACAGGCTGACTCTCTTGTTGGGAGCTAATAAAGCTGGTGACCTTAAGTTGAAGCTCATGTTAATTTGTCATTCCAAAAATCCTCAGCCATTTAAGATTCCTTTCAAAATACTATTTCTCATTGCTAATGTACCTAGTTACCCAGAGTAACTAGAAGAGTTCTGATGGAGATGTATAAGGAGACAAATGTTGTTTTCATGCTGCTAACATGACGTCTATTCTACAGCTGATGGATCAAAGAGAAATTATAACTTTTAAGCCTTATTCTTTTAAAAAATACATTTTGTAAGGTTATAGCTGCCATAGATAGTGATTCCTCTGATGGATCTGGGAAAATAAACTGAAAATCTTTTGAAAAGGCTCCACCATTCTAGATCCCAAAGAACATTTGTGATTCATGGGAAGAGGTCAAAATGTCATCATTAACAGGAGTCTGGAAGAAAGTTGATTCCAACCCTCATGAATGACTTTGAGAGATTCAAGACTTCCATGGAGGAGATAACTGCAGATGTGGTGGAAATAGCAAGAAAACTAGAATTGGAGGTGAACCCCGAAGATTTGATTGAATTGCTGCAATCTCATGATCAAACTTGAAGGCATGAGTAGTTGCCACTTAGGTATGAGCAAAAGGAAGTAGTTTCTTGAGATGGAATCTACTTCTGATGAAAATGCTGTGAACATTGTGCAAATGACAACAAAGGATTTAGAATAGGATATAAACTTAGCTGATAAAGCAGTGGAAAGGTTTGAGAGGATTGGTTCCAATTTTGAAAGAAATTCTACTGTGGGTAAAATGCTATCAAACAGCATTACAGCTACAAAGAAATCTTTCATGAAAGGAAGACTCCATTGATGTGGCAAACTTCATTGTTGTCTTGTTTTAAGAAATTACAACAGCTACCCCAATCTTCAGCAACCACCACCCTGATCAGTCAGTAGCCATCAACACTGAGGCAAGACCTTCGCCAGCAAAAAGATTATGACTCACTGAAGGCTCAGATGATTATTAGCATTTTTAGCAATATTTTAAAATTAATGTATGTACATTGTTTTTTTAGACAATACTATTGCACACTTAACAGACTACAGTATAGTGTAAATATAACTTTTACATGCTCTGAAAAATCAAAAAATTTGTGTGACTCACTTTATTGCAATATTCATTCACTTTATTGTGCTGGTCTAGAACTGAACTGGCAGTATCTCTGATTTTCACCATACTGTACCTGGCTGCACGTAAGCACTGGGTAAAAATGGTGGTTATGACATGGTGATGACAGTAGTCATGTGATTTTTTTTCCCCTGCTTATCTCAAATGTTACTACTTCACATCCTCTCCTCAACCACTATTGATCTTTTGAAACTCAGTTCAGAGGAGACTTCCTTTGGAAAGTTTACTTTTATATTTTTCCTTCCAAATTAGATGTCCTTCCTCAGATGTTACTTGGTTTTTTCCTACCCCCGAGCTCCCAATAGGCTGTGAATTCCTACAAGGCGAGGATCTTTCTTCTCTTTTCCCAGGACCACCAGAACTGCTCAATAAATATTAAACGTTCAGTAAAGTTCTGTTGACTAAGTCAGCAAATGAGTGAATACTGATAGTACACATCAGTCTTGCAAATAACTTCTCTTGCATTTAACAGCAGGGGATGAAATTGTCTATCAGCTTAGCAAAAAATTCCATCTTTATTAATTTAGCTACCTTTGCTCATCTTTGAAGAGGGTGGACCTTTGAAAAGCTTTGCACGGTAGTTAATATAAACAAAGCATAAATCAACCAATTCACAAACAGGTGAATTTTAAAAGAAAATTTATCTCACTAGCTTGACAACACCAGCCAGCTTTTAAGTAAATTGAAGCCAGGGACCAAATTATTCTTAGGGTAAAGAAGAAAACTATACATGTGACTTCAATCTTTGCAGACATCTTTTAAAAACCTTATTCTAAATAAATTCATCTAAATTTGGACAGAAGAGTAGCAATGGTAAGTGTTAATTGGCAGAGAAATCAGTTTAACACTTCACTATTATAGTTTCCAAAATGAGAAGGTTTTAAAGTTGCCTTGTAGTTAAAAAGCCTTTTAATCTCTCTCCCTCTCTTTTTCTCTCTCACTTTCTCTCAGCAATGCTTTTCATCTGCCCAGTCCCCACTTAGCAAACTGTCAATAAATTCTAAAATACTTAAATTTTCAGGAAAAAAAAAAGAGCAGCTGTGATCCTACATAATGCAGTGTTTTCATTCCAGTCTCTCTGAGAAGAATACCCAACCACGAATGGCTAGGAGAGTTTGGTGGTGGCTTTTCTTTCCTGGGTTTTGGACCAAAACATCTGTCCTTTGGCATTTTACCAACTTCGACTATGATCTCCTTCTCTAGATCAAAATTTATTAGATCATGTCTTCCAGAGTAAAGCACGTCTCTTCACAAGCCTTGAAACAAATCTTATTAAAAGGTGAGTGGCCATGAATCACTGGAAACTGAGAAATTTCTTTAAAAGTCTCCAAGAAAAACACAACTTCGTTCTCCTTACAACACAGGCACCTCATTTTATGTGCAAACGACCTACCCTTTAAAAGGTAACTTTTCAGTCGTCCAACCACAACAGTCTCAGTGGCACTTCCGACTTTCCCTGAGGACAACAGCCCCTCGAGCCACTAGCGATTCCGTTTATTTCCCAGGGATGCCCGTCGGTCCCTTAAGAGGTTAACAACCAACACTGGAGAGCCAGGGCTCACGCAACAGGTGGGACGCCAGGCCGTCAGGCGCCCTCTCGGTGCCCGCCCGCTGCCTGCCGGCCCTCAGGGCGCTCCTCGTCGGCGTCGGCCAGGCCTCGCGCCCCGGGGACCGCCCGGGCTCCAGCGCGAGGGCCGCGGCCCAGCACGGCGGCCGGGAGGGGGCCAGCGCGCCCGGTGCACGTCGCCTCCACGCCCACCTCCTCCCGGGACGAGTCCCCTCCCCTTGCCACAGCACGGACTCTCGGGGCTGCCGGTATTGTTGGCCGCGTCTGTCACTTTATGGGCCGGGTGACATGAATGGATGAGCTGGACACACCTTCCGTCCTTCCAGAAAGAAACCCGTCCAGATCTGCATAGGGAGCGGGAGAGACTCCCCCCGCGCTCCCAGAGCCTACGCCACAGGCCAGGGAAACGCACAGCTTCCCCCTCCCACCCTCACTCCTCCCATCCCTTTAAAAAAACGCCCAACGCAAATAAATATTACCGTTCCAAGCCTGCTGCCGTCGTCGGTGCCCTCTCTTCCCCGCCCGGCTCGGCGCGCCCCAGCCCTGAGGGAGGCGGCGGCGGGACGGCGGCAGGAAGCGGCGGCTCGCGCGCGGTCCGGTGCGCGGCGCGCGGGCGCCGCACTATGCTCCCCAGCGCCGTGGCGGCCCACGCCGGCGCGTACTGGGACGTGGTGGCTTCCTCCGCGCTCCTCAACCTGCCCGCAGCGCCCGGCTTTGGCAACCTGGGCAAGAGTTTCCTGATCGAGAACTTGCTGCGGGTCGGAGGCGCCCCGACGCACGGGCTGCAGCCGCCCCCGCCCCACGGTCGGGCGGCCGCGCTAGCCTCGGCCGCAGCCGGCGCCCAGCTCCGGCCCCTGCCCGCCAGCCCGGTTCCGCTCAAGCTGTGCCCTGCGCCGGAACCAGTCAGCTCCGCCGGGGCGCCCTACGGCACGCGATGGGCTTTTCAAGTGCTCAGCCCCTCCGCGGGCGGCGCGAGGCTGCCGGGCCGGGCTCCGGGGGACCGAGACTGTACCTTCCCGCCTTCAGCCCCAGGTGAGCCAGCTCCTCCCTCCCCAGAGGGGACGCGCCCGCGTCCCCCGGCCGGTCCCAGGATCAGGGGGCGCCGGCGGTGCGCACAGCGCGAGCGCGGGCCCGGGACCCTCCTGGAGCGTCTCTGTCGAGCTTCAGTGGAGATGCCACTTGGGGAGTAAGGGGGGACACCACTTTCTGTAATTCTTTTCTGCCCCATCTCATCCCACCAGCTTCATTCCTGTTTCCTTCTTTCAACAATGTCAGGGCTTCCTTGACCTGGGGGCCTTAACCGGGAAACCCTGAAGACACCCCTGGCCGGCAAGGGCAGTCCGGAGATCCCTGGGCTGGCTGGACCAGTTTCACAGGGTTTCCCAAGTCCAGCGTTTCTAACCCGCCCGCTCTCTTGTCCTCGGGGCTGCGCGACACCGGCTCTCGGGAAGGTTCGTGGCGAAGAGAGCTCCGCGCGACCCGCTTTTGGTGCTGTTGCCACTCAACTGCTACGACCGTCGGGGCCGTTCTGGAACGCGGGCTAAGATCTTTGGAAGGAGAGTTGCGCAAAGTTTTGGCTTTCTCCACTCTTAACGTTTTGGATCACTTAAGGCGCAAAGAAATCAAGGCCGACTTTTTCTTCGTGCTGAGCTGAAAAACAGCTGAATTGGCAACTGGAGTAGGAAGTTCACCAGTAAATAAGAATTTACTAAAAGTAGGGCAATTTTGGTTTATTTTGATTATCATTTAAAACCTAACTAGCGGGACTGAGTTAGCAGGATGCCCACAATTTAGTCAAACATTACGCTAAAGCTTATTTAGGGGCTGCCCAAATTGGTGGTGATTAAAGGGAAAAGCCTCTTAGAGACTCAGAAACTGAGATCCAATTGGATTAAATTTTTTTTTTTTTTTTGGCTGCGTCCTTAGACGATCTTAACTCATTCTTTTAATCCCGATGGGTTTGTCCAGAATGACTAATAGACGCTTTTTCAGCAGTTTCCATTGTCCCAGCAAACTGCCGGATCAAATTTATTGCTAATGGCTTTATAGAATTTAACATGTTTAGAACCTGTCCTGGTCTTTCAGTTTGAAATGGTTGCTAACAGAATGGAACAAATATAATTATATGAACACCGGTCTCATTCACCTAGTGTAAAACCTAAATGCTAAATGCTAACCTTTTGTACTCTGGGAGAGAGACAAATACAGTTAAGGCAAAGTTTATATGCCTTGGAAATTTGGGCCACTCTGTTCTTTTTGAAGTATTAGGACAATTAGATATATAAAAAACAGGTTCATGTAGACAAGAATTAGTAAATAATATCTCATAAAATCATTTTCAAGAAAATTTGGTGATTTGTATAACTTTTGGTGGTTTGGCATTTTGTTCAGAGACATTCTTTTTCTAAGATTCTTATATTGTTCCTAATCATAATTGGCTACTCAACCATGAAAAATTACTCAATTTTAACCTTTGCAGATTTTACAGATTAAATTTAAGTAAACTAAAAGCACATCAAATGCGGATATTTCAATACTCCTCAAAAATGATTTCATGTACCTTTTCATTTCATTCAAAATATTGCAACTAATATAGTAGTCTTCTACCTACATCTTTTTTGTTTTCAACAACATATTCATTCTTATACACTTACTGAAGTGCCCAAATGCAAAAATTATTTTTGGAATAATTAAGAGGGTTGCAAGAATTTATATTTCCCTTTGAGGTATTGTAATACAGTGTAAGTATGTATTTTTCCAAGTATTTTATTCAAGCCTCCCTGACGATTTGATGTTCTCCTAGGTTAATTTTCATTTGAACAAATAACTTTTTGTTTCAAAAAAATAATTCTTATAAATAATACATTTAACTTTTGAAACTAGAAAAATATCTAAAGAAAATTAAAATCCCATAAATTTGTCTCCACAAATATGCTGCTTAAAACCAGCATTTACATTTACTTATTTTTAGAATTTGAGAAAGAATGTAGTTTTTTAAACATTGTCCCAATTTTATTTAAATGACAGAGTCTTGCCCTACCAAATGTAATAGGAATTCTTTTATACAGTGTAGAATTATGAAGCTATAATGAGTACCAATAATTTTAGCTATCAGATGGAAATTAGGTAAGGATGAAATAGTGATTGGATGTTCTGTAGAGAGTGGAAAAGAGACAGAAAAGCTGTTGTTTTCAAAATCGACAATGACAATATTATGTCTGTTTCTGAAATGTCAGTGAATGGCCAGTTTCTGATCCTTTAAACACTAAGTTGGGAGGGGGATCACAAAATGTGATTTTAATAATTTCATTATACTGACTACTCATTTTTTTCCTTTTAAATTTTTTTGTAGATATTTTTATTTTATCCAGAGCCATGCCTAAGAAACCTTGAGCAAGTGGACTCCCCACTTTTTTCCAAATCTTAATTTGTTGAGTACACACATCTAATTGTTGAATATGAAAACCTCAGAGTTATTGTTAAGTGAATATAGACCATTTAACCAGGGGATTTATGCTTCTGCATGGGTTTTTGCTTCATTATTTTTGTTAGCTACTATTAACTGTACCATATATTTCATTCATTCAGCAAATGCTTACTGAGTGTCTCCTGTGTCAGGCTCTGTTCTAGGCCATTGGCATAATCAGTGAACAGAACAGGTAACTATTTCTGCTCTTGTAGAGCTTACATTCTATGTTCTGTACTACTTTATAGGTTGCCAAGCATTTTCACAATCGTTAGCTTCTTAAGTCCTTATAATAGGCCAGCAAGGTAGCTATTGGGATTCTAATTGTTTTTCTACAATGATTATTTCACTTGCTCATTTTTTCTTTTTGTCCCAAGCATCATTTTAAATATCTATGAACTTGTGAAAGAAAAAAATGCCCCAAATCTTCAGGCTCTTATCTTAGGTTAGCCTTTCCTTGTATGTAGGAAACTAATAGAGGAATAATGGCATAACCAATCACATAGTGTCACAATAACAAATCAGACTGTGATTTTTGTGTCTCAGCCCATAAGGAAAGAAATGGACTTACCATTTCATCTTCTTATGAGACATATCTGAAAGGTGGTAGCAGTTAAATGGTAACACAGATTTACAGGTCAGGGATGAAAGTCTAGCTGTTACTACTTCATCCCTGAAAATTGACAAGTTTGAATATTTATAGCAAGAAAATGCACACTCCACAGCTATATGCTGTCAAGTTGTTTATATGGAATAGTTTGAAAAGTTTACTTTAAAAATTGAAGAGCATTCCTCAAGGCTTGAAAGGGGCATATTTAGGGCAATACTGGGTAGTAAATAGGTTCTCTAGGGTTTATATCTGAAAAAAAAATTGGTGTAGGTCTGTTATAGTTTATTAGTGTAAACCAGGAGGCTTTGTGAGTAAATTCTAATCATTGGAGATCTTTCTCCAGAAGTTCACTAATGTTATTATTTGGAAAATATTGTGCTAAATTAAAATAACCATGTCTTTTTATATAAAAGAAGGTCTTGAAATGTAAAAAGCTGAAAAATTAAAATTTCTCTTGATTATAGAATGACATCAATTTTCCAGTTGATGGTTATGCCATCAGTTCTCTTCAAAATAAATGAAATAGTCTTTCTGTTAAAATAGCATTCGTTATTTTAAACATTTTAGAAAATGTTTGACATAGAAATAATTTTCTGAATATCATTTCCTTCCTTGTTTATTAAATCTACTCCTTCTACTGCATATAAAAGAATTGGAAAGCAAATATTTATTCTGGATAGGTGAGTTAAATTGTTCTTTTTTTTTTTTAAAGTAGTTTTGCCAAGCAGGTCATACTGTCTAGTACGGAAATGGAAGATACTCAATTTTTTTTTTTTACATCCAGTTAGGGTTGTTTCTGACTGTTAATACTTAACATGCACTCTAGTTTTCTTGCTACCAACCAGTGTCAGGTATTGTTTATCAATTAATTGTTGACTCTGTCTGAAACTTTTTGCACTTACATTTTTGTAATGCAAATGGTAGTTTTTTCCTCCTTCATGGAGATATACTGAAAGTGCGAAATAAAATTGCCTCTATTACATTTTAGGCACTTGGAAGAAGGAGAAAAAGCCATTTGTGCTCAAAGTAGGGGCTCCAGTCTAAATGAAAACTTTGTGATCTGATTTATTAAGCCAGAGTTTGACATTTTTGTTGCTAACACTATGCTCTATGTTTGTTGTAGGAAATTAAAATTACGGAATTTTGAGTGTTGATCCAGAACCAGGATGAGAATGGGGGATTCAGAACAGGACAATGATGGAACCTATTCTAGTGGTTCTTTGCTTAGGGCCATCACCCCAGTCATCTTTTGGTGGAATTTGTAGATAATACCAGAGCCATATTCTTACTATATCTGTGTGTTTTTTTTGTAATCAGCTGAACATATCTTTGTATTTATATTAACATATTAAATTTTACATAGTTCATGAGTAATCAGCTCTGAATAGATTGTTACATGGTCCCTAAATTGTTAAATATTTTCAGGTTCAAGAAGTTCTTGCAGTGAATAGAACCAATGGAACTAATAGTCCCTTTACATTTGGTACTTATTGAGTAAGACACATTCCTTACAAAATAATGTCTGAGTTGGAACTATTAATATAGTGGGGTAACAATTTAAGTGTATTTAATTTGCCTCCAACTTTAACACCTTTCCCCACGCCCCCAACACATGCTTTTTTGCTTGCTCTGACAACAAGCAAATCTCAATCTGGTAACATGAATTGAAGCTATTGAGGTTTAATAATAAAACAAGAGTACATGTAGCAGGCACAGAAGGATCATTTTAGAACTTTCCAGTTAACTCTTATACTGTTAGGGATTTGGGGCTTATTCTAAGAGATACATTGGTTTGAATGTCCAGAAATTTACGTATGAATTTATGTAGAATTGAATTTAGGATTCACAGTGTTCAGGGTTATGCTGTGCATATCAAAGGATCCATGTGTTATGGGCAATTTAAAAGGATTGTCAAGGGTGGTTTTATCTATATTTGTTTGCCATCAATGTGGATCA